GAAGAGCGATTAAAAAAACTGATCTTTTTCCACGCAGAATTACGATTGTCTCCGGACGTTGCGGGAGCAACTTTTATGGCTGCTGGTTCTTCGGCGCCGGAATTGGCAACGGTGGTGATCGGTGTCTTTTTTGCCAAGGACGATATCGGAGTGAGTATGCGAAATGGATTTTTAACCGGATCGCGTAGAGTTGGGTAGAGGGAATATCGTAGAGCGAGTGATTGCTTGGATTACAGGTAAGCGGTGTAATCGGAAGCGCGGTATTCAATATAATGTTCGTGATATCGGTTTGCGGACTTTGCACGACAACGGTGTCAAAGCTGAATTGGTGGCCCCTTTGCAGAGATTGTTTCTTCTACGCGGTATCGATTCTGGTGATGCTCGGTACGATTTTCAACGAATCAATATCTTGGTAAGATATGGTTTATCCGATGATACACGGTGGTCGTGTAGTGGTTGAATCGTCGAAACGATTTATCGTGTACACAGAGCGAGTACGTTATTTCAGGATGGAGTCTCTGTTCATGTTGATTATGTACGTGGTGTATTGCGTTGCGTTATCTTTTAACGCTAGACTGGAACGTTGGGCGAAATCTTACAATATACCTTTCCTACCAAAGGACGACGAACCCGCGGAAGAAAGCGCTTTGGTTAGTTATAGATCGTTGCAAGAGGATCGATTGTCTTATACAGGGCCGAGTTCGCCAGTTACGGATCAATACAGAACGCACGAAGGTAAAGGTCGATTGTCGGATGCGCAGCAAGTTTCTAGTAACTTGCAGCTAGTTTCTAACGTCTCTAGTATGTTTTTTACGAAAAGAAAATTCACGAAATTACGTAGAGTAATGTACGAGAGAGTATTTTTTTTATTTCGAGAAATCGAGTTTGTTGGAAAGTAAAACGAATTGACAGGATTGCTCGTCCACAGGGGCGACAGGCGGTGGAGGAGGAGGAGGAGGTGGAGCAGCAGCAGCAGCAGCAACAGCAGCAGTAGGAGCTGGAGTAGGAGCTGGAGTAGGAGCTGGAGCAGGAGGAGGAGCATCTGTTGGGGAAACGAACGAGCCAGTAGCACCGAAACAACCAGAGTATTACAAAGCGAAAGAACCGGATCCGAACGAGGTATCACCGTTGGAAAAGCCTACCGACGGAAGCAAATGGACTCTGTTTACCTGGGGCCTCGTCTATCCCATTCATTTCATGTGCCGAGCCACAATGCCGGATTGTCGACAAGAAAAATTTCGAAATTGGTATCCCTTTACCTTTTGCGTATCGATGGTTTGGATCAGTTTCTATAGTTACATCATGGTGTGGATGATCACGATCATAGGTAAGAGAACGATACGTTTGCCGCTTTACCAGCTTTTACGCGAGCCTTTATTCGTCCTTTTCTCTAATGTTCCTTGCTGTTCCTGTTTCTTGACGATATATTCGATTGCTCGTAGGTAGCACACTTGGTATACCCGATACGGTGATGGGTTTAACGTTTGTCGCTGCTGGTGTCAGCGTACCGGACGCGCTTTCGTCGTTAGCGGTGATAAAGGAAGGCCTTGGTGACATGGCGGTGAGCAACGCAGTCGGTAGTAACGTCTTCGATATATTAGTTTGCCTCGGGCTTCCATGGTTTATACAGACTGCAATGATACAGCCTGGTTCGCACGTGAACGTCACCAGTCGAGGTAAGATTGCGCGACTTTCTTTTTACCGTTCGATTTTTATTGCCGAGGGATGATTGGCATTCATTGGTACTCTTCTGTTACCATATTGCCAGGCCTGACGTACTCGACGGTGTCATTGCTATCCACGGTGATATTCTTGGTACTAGCGACCCATTTGAACGGCTGGAAGCTAGATCGACGGTACGGAGTGATACTGATGCTTTGGTACTTGGTGTTTATCACATTTGCTTCGCTTTACGAGCTAAACGTTTTCGGTGAAATGAATCCACCGGTATGCTTCAGCTCGTTTTGAACGAACCCGTTTCGATTATACAGACGCATAGGTGAGAAAAACGAAACAATGTGTAAAACGGATGGATGAGTGATGAAGGTAGGCTAGAAAGGAAAGGAAGAAGAAGATAGATAGATAGGTAAATAGATAGATAGATAGATAGATAGATAGATAGATAGATAGATAGATAGATAAATAGGTAGACCGAGTGCGCGTGTGCATGCGCTAGTGTGTGTGCGTGTGTGCGTGCGTCGTGCGTGTGTGCGCGCGTGTATAAAGAACCGATTACACGCTCGATGAAAATGTTCTCGTTGCACTCGATCTCATGGCATCGTGGTATGTATCACGCGGCTAAAGCACGATGGAAGATCGTTCAAAAATTTGTTTTTTTCCTTTCCACTTTTCTCTCCGCCTCCTCCTCCTCCTTCGCTTGATCTTTCGCCACTCTTCTATTCGTATGCTTGCTTCGAATCCAATTCCAATACTTGATCATTTACTAAAATCAAAGTGGAAAGAAAAAGCGAGGAGAGGTTTGACAACGAATGAGATGGCAAGATGCCCTTTTGTACCGGAATCAAAAAAATACATTTAAAATGCGTTTGTCTGTTAGAATTGGTTTGTACATAATACATTGACGATTCGTTTTCTCATCTCTTAAGGTCCGTTTCAGCGATGCGTTTTATTTTCGCGTTGCGTAAATTTTACCTTCCTACGAATGTTCGATCAACCTCGCGATAAGCAAATTTATCGGTGCTTTATTGCAAATGTAAGATATCGCTTCCATTCGTTGTTTATAAGATATCGATCGAGCCTTCTTCCCACTCGGAGAGAAAGAAACGAAATGGAATGGTACCGTACGGAATGGAACGGAACGAAACGGAACGGAACGGAACGGAAGGAAAGAGAGAGAAGCATTATCGGAAGGCTCGGACGTAGAGTCTTAGACCGTATTAGCATATTTATACGTTTTGGAGTTATATAAACGGACAATAATACATTTATCAGTATTAAAACGCAAACGACGACGATTAAGTAGTAAAGGATCTAGAATCGGTATCGAGATAGGATTAATTCTTTCGAATCGTCGACGCGCGAGATGCCGCAGACCGAAGACAATCGAGACAATCGTTTTTGTTACTTAAATCTCGTTTCGATTTCGCGAAACGCATCTGACTCGACCGATGCCATAAGCGTACTCTTCGTGGAAAATGTTACGGGTACCCCGTTTACCAATGTCTATTTCCATCCTGTACGTTTGAACGTTTCTGTCCAACCGTGGCTCTTTCGAGCAGTTTCATTATTCCAATCTTCCTGTTCGATTTATACCGTGCAATTTCTCAACCGATGTTGGTAATTTTCGCTTCCGCTTTACGTCTTAGGTATTTATCGCGGTGATCGTCGAGTCGATTTTCTTGCATCGTATAACGATATGTCCGTCCGTGCGTTCGTTGGTTCATTAGTTGCTTTATTCGTAATGTCGTTTGCCTTCCTTCGTAATTACTCTTACGTAGGCGAATAATTATTTGATTATCGTCGAAGTTATCGTTGTTCCCTCGTCGTAGTTCGCGTCGTTTCTTATCACGCACACGCCCCCCTCCCCCTCTCCCTTCTCCCATAACACACATCCTTTGCGATATGATCTGTAAGGATACGTAAGTGCGAGAGTATTCGCATACCTTTACGGTGGTGATACAACTCGAGGAAACTGCCTCCTTTATTTCCTCTTTTTCCGGTTAAACTGTCAGGTTTATTCCATACCTTTGCATCGGGAAGAATAGCCTTTACGCTACCGTCGGTGATAGAACATTTTGTCACACAGTTTGCCATCGTTAAATCCAGTCGAATTCCCCTAGTTTTATTGGTATAGTACGCCGCTGTTAACTGTACCGTCTATATAAGGAAACAACGTGTAAATAGCCCACCGTTTGATAAATTTTGTACTGGTTATCGAGGAGTTAGCAGTGGTATTCGAAATTTTCGTTATTCGCGTATATTTTCCGAGTTATCGAACTGCTATTGATCCATCCGCTACACAGTGGTCGGATCATCGCTGTCCGATTTACTTGCTTACTACACTCTGGTACGCGTTTGCGTTACACGATTCGAACGCCTGTACGGATGATCCTTACAGATCGAACGGTAAGACGACGTTTCTTTTTCATTTACTCGAGAAAAGTTTACTCGTCCAAAAATGCAACGACTTTCGAGGGACCGATTCCGATTAGCGTGTCAACTGTTAAGTCACTTAGCGAGTGACTCGTTAAGAGGAATAAACGAAGGGAAAAGATCTCTGTCCTTTCGAAATACTTGGGTACACGTTATTCGTCTGCGGCCTCTGAACGCGGAATCCGAACTCCATTTTCTGGAACTACCAAAGTGCACGTTTCGATCCGTTTCCACTGGGAATTACGCAATTGGTGCTACGTCGTTAACGGAAAGGATCAGCTATTATCGATCACCGTCATGTCGACTAAATCCAAACGGTCCATTCGTCGTCCTCGCTACCAATCCTTTTACACGTCTCTCTTATACCGGTGTATACTCGGATATTTACGCTGTTCCATATCGCTTAGTTGACTCTTTTCTTCCACCTTTTAACGTCCCGCGAAACGGTAAAATGTATGGCAAGTTTTTAACAGAGTCGAAGGCGATCATCGGACAAATCGATTCGGCGATTAGATACGTGGAGGCGAGTGCTTTGAACGAGTGGAGCGAATGTTGACGCGTTTGCATGTTCGAAGAACGTTTGCATCGAAATAAACGCGTTGCTTAAACCGACAGAATGATTTGTTTGGCTATAGTAGCGATTAAATGGATCAATGAGCGGGAAAAGTATGCGTAGCGAGCGAGCGAGCGAGCGAGAGAGAGAGCGGGTTGGGTGGAGGCGACGACTACGGATGAAAGAAAGCGAGAGCAAAGAACGAAGCTGTTTGCGGAGAAATTGGAATCAGCGGAAGAAGGTGAAAGAGATACAAGGGGGTAAACTTTCAACGAGCGCGAGCGGTAAAAAAGAAATAAGAGACAATAATTAACGCAGCCTTATCCGATGAAAGTATCTACAACGTTACACTGCGCGATCATTGAGATCAGCGTATAAAGAATAGCTTATGTTTCAAAGAGATATTTCAATCTGACCGTTGCGTTGCCATTTTGCAAAGTTGATCGATACGCTATAGATATGTACGTAGTTACTAATAAGTCGAAAGCGAACCAACGATGAAATTGAAAGAAACGGAATGCGAACTGCAATCCGCGATAATTCGATATTTACGTATGTATTTATGCGTTTGCATTGGTAAACAATCTTTCGTACACGTTGCATCGTAATATCGCGTACCGCGTACCGTATGCGAATGCCCGTGCATACGCGTATGCGTGTCCCGACAAAGTACGACGAGAACGTATTTATCCTCAGCTGCGTTTCGGCGAGTAAGTAAGCAAGCAAGCAAGTAAGTAAGTAAGTAAGCAAGTAAGTAAGTAAGTAAGTAAGTAAGTAAGTAAATAAATAAGTAAGTACGTATGCGGTCCGTCGACAGATCGCAAAGATCGCGCAGGTATGCTAAAATAGCGTAAACTCGACGCGTGTGCGTGTATGTGTGTGTGTTTGTGTGTGTGTGTCCTCCATTGGTACCACGTATGTACATAGACGTATGTACAGTATGCGTAGACATACCGATATGTACAACTACGTACAATTACGCGTTACATATGTGAGTACGTGTGGCGTGTGTGTGTGCGCGCGCGCGTGTATGCGCATACATATACATATACATACACACGCACGTATATAAACATATAGAATAGCTATGAATGCTTAGATTTATACGATTACCAACCGTTCTACGTGTTTGTTCACTACCATTATTTATTACATTGTTAGCGCTTCAGGCGGATACACGTTGATATTTAACATTAGCGATGTCGTGCAATATTATGCACCCGATCGATCGATTGAACGAATTAAAATTACATCTCTTTCTCTCTCTCTATATATATATATATATATATCTATGTGCGTGTGCGAGCGCTCATGTGTGAGTGCGTGCGTGTGTAATTCAACGGACCTGATGGTAATTTTAGGCGTTCGCTCGATCGATCGATGGATCGATCGATGGAGAAAAGCGGAACGGTGCGTTCCGTGGTACACGTTGGAATTCGAATTCGCGTTGGAAAGGTGCGCGCTGATGGACGTAAAGCGCGAATCGAGGTGCGCGAAAGTGAGGATGATGATAAACGTGGAAAGATCGCGTTCGTATCCTTTCGACGAAGGGAGATCTCGATGGAAATAATATACTCGCGATCGGCAGCGACGGATTATCGTGGAGGAACGATCATTTTCGTGGAAAAAGAATATCCTACGTTCGGTGGATAATTGATTCTTCGCCACTTTTCCACCATATTTGCGCGTCTCTCGCTATCCGATCGATTACTGGTCGTTATTCGTATGACAGCGTTCGAAAATTGGTGTAGTTGTAGTCAATGAAGAGATTATACCGTTAACGATCAATTAGTAGCGTTACGTAGAGCGTATATCTTTAGGCCGAGATACTTTAGCGGTAACTTTGATCAATTCTTGGGTGCCCTTAATAGATCGTAGATCGTTCAAGTCAATACGCGTTGCGATTTAGATATTTTACGTACTTTTCATCGAGTCTACTTACCCGTCCTCGTATCTATTCGTCGTTCACCAATTTTCGAACAATTCGACTTATCGTGAACTTTCGTGAAACCGAGAGCAAAGTTTAAGCAACTGGAACGATATAACTCGCCGTTTGTCGATATCGACTCGTCAATAATTAATCGTTAACCGTTGTGACTGTAGATTTTATATCGTCGCGTAAAGGCTGGTACACGAACCGAACTACGATCCGTGGAAATACGATCCGATAAATCTTCGCGATCGGGCTTAATCGAGATTCGACAAGGATGCATTTTCATCGATCGTATCTCGCCTGTACCCAACTTTACGTACATACGTATACGAAGATATTCGTATACAAATAATATATATGATATATGATATAGATACAAGTTATATTTGGCACGTGCATACGGTATACAAGTATACGCGTTACGCGTTCAGTTTGATTACAGGATTA